GAGGCTCAGCTTGGGGGGTAACCGGCTCAGCTGGCGGGGAACTGGCTCAACTGGGGGGGGACCAGGCTCAGCTGGGGTTGTGGGGGGGCTCAGCTGGGGCAGGACCAAGCCCCGGCTCAGGCCCAGCTATGCGGGCGCCAGTGCCTGGGCTCTGGGGCAGGCAAAGGGCAGTTGGCCTGGTTTAAAATTGGAACAGTGGACGTCTGAAGACTTTCTGGGCGGAAATTAAATTATCAAGAACCGAAAAGCAGTTCATACTCTTTGCCCCAGCAGTTTCCCCTCTGGGAACCTACACTGAAGTGACAGGGACTTGAGCAAAGATTTCTGTTCAGAGACGTTCATCACAGCATCATTCACATTACGGAGAAGGTGTAACAGCAAGCGGTGGGCTGAAGGGACACAGCACCTGCAAAACTTTCGTTTCTGAGGGACATTTAATGACGTGGGAAAGGGCTCACAATGCTCAAGCTTGTGTGAAAAATGTAAGACACGGAATTTCACATTCAAAGTTCCAAATGTTGTCATATGTACAGTACACAAATACACCCACACCCCCCAACGCACACGCACCCCCAGACACAGACATACACATACCCAGATACGCACCCACACAGATACAAACACACACACAGGCACACACACACAGCCAGGCATGCACACACACAGACACACACAGGCACACACACACACACACAGGCACAGACACACACACCCCCAGGCACACATACACACCCAGGTGCGCACACACACCCCCAGGCACACACATACACCCAGGCACAGATACACACTCCCAGGCACAGACACACGCCCAAGCACACACACAGGCACAGATACACACTCCCAGGCACAAACACACATACATGCCCAGGCACACACACACACCCAGGCACACACACAGGCACAGACACACACAGGTGCACAGGGGCACACACACACACACCCCCAGGCGCACACACACATGGGCACACACACACACCCAGGTGCGCGCACACACACACCCAGGCACACACACACGGGCACACACACACACCCAGGCACAGACACACACACCCAGGCACAGACACACATGAGCACACACATGGACATCACCATTCTACAATGCATGTTTTTTCCCACGGTAGCATCTCTGAAATTGGGATGCAGCTGCAAACAGTGGCATCTCACAATGAGTTGGCCATGATTTCGGGGTTTTTTTGTTTGTGTTGGCGGTAAATGAAATAAGGGCGCGTCTTACAAACGATGTGTCTTTGAGTCAGTGAGAGACGCTGTGTGTGTGTGTGTGTGTGTCACAGACACATGAACTCCAAGGAGAGCGAAGGGTGGCGAGAGCCAGGCCTGCTGTCCAGAAGCGGAAGGGGCGACGCACAAAGGCTGAGGGCTGACACCGAGGCAGCTGCAGTAGCGTGGGATGGCGCTAGCTGGCGCGGGGATGGGAGAGGTCTCTTGCGTGCCCTTATCTGTATCTCGTCGCGTCTCTACGAGGAGCCAGTGGTGTGTACGAGATATTGTAGTCAGTTCTTCGGTGGACCGGCTGTCGTGCGCGGTGCAGGGCGATTTGGGTGCTGGTTGATTTCTTCGTGTGCTACGCAGTGCCCGGAGAAGGAGGCCTGCCACCTGCCCAGCCGCCCACTCACCGCGCAGCAGCTCCAGCAGGCTCCCCTTAGGCATGAGCTCCGTGATGATGGACACAGGGTCCCCCGTGGACGCCACAGCACACGGCGCCAGGATGTGCTTGTGCCGCAGCTTCTTCATGGCCCGGATCTCCGCCTGCAATGTGTGCTGCTGCGGGTCGTCTGTGGACAGCGGCCTCGGTGGGTGCGGCGCACAGCCTGACACACCG